CATATATACACACACATTCATATCCTTACTCAAGTCACATTAAGTGATTAAAGGTACTAGAGAAGAATATGTCTTTTAAGCAGCTACCTTCAAAACAAGTAAAACATGGGCTGGGAAGGTGGCTCAGTGGTAGAGCGCTTGCCTTGCATGCCAGAGGCCCTGGGTTCGATTCCTCAGCACCACATAAGCAGAAAGAAAAAAGCCAGAAGTGGTGCTCGGGCTCAAGTGGTAGAGCGCTAGCCTTGAGCTGAAGAGCTGAGGGACAGCGCCCAGGCAAAAGTTCAGGCCCACGACCGGACCCAAAAAAAAAAAAAAAACAAGTAAAACACTTAACATATTTTTACTTATATATTTATTATAAACAAAAGCTGCCCATGATAAAGCTTTCAGTAAAAGTTGTTCTCAAAGTTCGCACAGAGAGAAGTAATACTGATAAGATTCATCTATTTTAATGGAATTCCAACAGTTTGTCTTCAGAAATACTTTCCATACCACAATGGTCATCTCAACATTTTTGACAAGAGTATCACGGACTTTCCTGCCTGGGCTGGCTTTGAACCATGATCCTCAGATCTCAGCCTCCTGAGTAGCTAGGATTACAGACATGAGTCACCGGCACATGGCACAGAAAAGGATATTCTAAATATGGAGAGTTTCAATGTTCCTTATAACATCATAAATTTAAATATTGCCATGATATCTTTTCATATCCAAACTCTGGTGACGATGCAATGGAAAGTACATTTTCATGCAAGACAATCTGCTCTAACTTACCATCATGCTGGATGACCTGCTGCAATGACAACAGCACTTAATAAGCTAACTCTTCTTATCAAAAATGTCAAAAGCAGTAGGTCATCTTAACATTCAGATGAAAAATAAGTATTCCACTTAAATGAATATGAATCAGGTTTAGTAAACATTAATTCCACATCAGGAAGTTTACATTTTTCCTTTCCTTCTTTCATAAGCCTTCAGTATTCATATATCAAATATGTAAAAATAGAAGTTCCACCATTAAGTTCCTTTGACAGCTAGCTGTTGCTTTCTGAACTTTCAAGAATCACCTTCAGCGAAGCCCCATTGGCTCATACCTGTAATCTTAGCTACTCAGGGAGCTGAGATCTGAGGACTGAGCGTGGAAGCCAGCTAGGGCAGGAAAGTCAGTGAGACAAACCTCCACTTACGCACCAAAAAAAACAGAAGTGCCATGCCTCAGTTGGTAGAGTACTAGCCTTGAGCAAAAAGAAGCTCAGAGACAGTGCTCTGGCCCTCAGTTCAAGCTAGCACGTGCTCTCTGTGTGCTAGCGCTTGCTGGTTCGCTCTCCGTCACACACACATATACACACACACTCACACGGGAAACACCTTCAATTCTAGAATGAAATAATACCTATGTGTCAAAGCCATACTTGCCACAGCAATATCTTGTTAATCTGAACTTTTTTATGGCATTCCATGAAAGAACTTCCAAAAGATTCAAACAGTATGACCTATAGCTTCTTTTCGAGCATGTTTACCAGAATTATCTCATAGAACCCATCCCCTTTAATGTGACTCTAAAAACCTCATGTCCAGAAGCCAGTGACTGGTTCATAAACAAGATAATGACTAGTTCAATGGGAAAAGGGCTATGACAATAAGCTGTCTCACCATGTTATGATCTGTTTGCCTAATATGTATGTTTAGCTACAGTAGTCAGCAATGTCCAAATATAAATTTGAAACATTTAATGGCCAGTTCTGTTCTAGGCATCAAGCTCATCTTACCTGTTCAAAACATAGGTTTTTAATCTATGGGTTTCCACAAATACAGTCTTTTTTAGAAAATGTACTCCCTAAAGTAGAGATGAGGACCAAAGAAATTTTTATGTTCCCCAAAATTAAAAAATAGTCAATAAATATCGTTATTTCTGCACATCTCTACTTTTACAAATTGAAATCAAAATACTGCAGAAAATAAACCTTGCACTAGATAAGCATTATATATCACAAGAGTATCCTATACTTTATGAATACAGCCATACATATACCAAAGAATATATATGTGTACATATCTTGTTGATTTAAAAATAAACTGGACTGGCTGGTTCAATTTCAATCGTTGGTAAGAGGGCTGAAGGCACTAAAGAATCAATAAAACTGGAAACAATTTTTTAAAAGGTCAATCATATTTTGTTTGCCTAAAATACGAAGCTTAATCATGACCTATCTATCTAAACTTATCGTTGCTCATTGTATAAAATTAGCACCGCACTTGCAAACATAAGCAGAACCTAGACTTATCAAACATATGGCGAGACATGCCCGGGCTTTTGAAATATTAAAATGTGAATGAAGTTTTGGTAAACAAAACCTCATCGATCCTGCTAAAAGGTATTCGTTTTAAAAAATAGTAATACTACGACTAGTAATAACTCTGATCAGACATTTTCAAAGCATCCAGCAAACTAACACCTTGAAATTAACTGAACTGGTTTGAAAACAAGTTACTTCCACTCCCCAAAGCTAGATCTCAACTCGAAAACAGAAAAAGAGAAGAAACATCCAGCTCATCTCCCAAGCACTGGCTGGCTTAATCAAAGCTAACTTTTCCCTCCCTGTCTCTGGACAAGAGAACCAAGCCGGACCATTGCTGCTGCTGCTGCCGCCGACCAGAAGCTCCCCTCGGCGCAGCGAGCTGACAGGTGGAATGAAAATAAATTCCCCAGCAGGCCTGCGAAGAGGCCGGTTGTGACAACACGGTTCAAGGACTGAACGTGTTGTGACTCCTCTGTCACCGGTCCAAGGTAATTTTTACGCACACACCCTTTGGCGCAAATCCTCCAACCCAGATAACACTGAGGAAACAACAGGCTTCCCCGAGAGCCCACGTACCATGTTAACAGGGCCGTCTGCCCCCCGACGGGAACACAGACATTCTCCTCCCAAGTCCCTTCTTCTGCGCGTTCTCCCGGGGCGGCGAAGGGAAAGCGGGATCCAGCCGACCGCCGCGGCCGCCGCCGCCACCAGCAGCACCAGCACCACCGTAACGCGAGAAGCCCGGCAACAGCCCCGCCGCGCGGCCGCCACGCCTTTCCTCTCGCCGCCGCTGGGGACGCGGAGCCTCGGATCACATTTCTCCTCCCCAACAATCACACGCACGCACGTCCCCGGAGTTGACACCCTCCAAACCCGCCGCTCCGCGCCGCTGCTGCCGGGGGGCCCCACGGAGCCCCGAGGCGCGGGCCGACTCCGGGCCCGGCGCCCCCCAGGGCGTGCCGGGCGGCGTGTTTGTGTTGGTTCCCCTTCATCAAAGGCAAAGAGGTCTCCGTAGTGACGGCCTAGGGCGGCGGAGGGGGGGGGGAGGCTGAGGGCCGCCCCACCACCACCTCACACCACACACCACCACCCGCACACACCCGGTGGGACTAAACAAAACTTCGGTTGCCGGGAAGAGGCCTTGCGCAACCTTGGCGGGGGAGGGAGGCCGGCACCGCCGCGCCAGGGCTGGGCCAAGGCGGCTTCCCGGAGGCTGCGCCACCGCGCACGGGAAGCACGCGCGGCTACCCCGCGGCCCTAGGGCCTCGGCGCGGCGCGGGCCTCGCGGGAGCCGCCCGGGCCCCGACACAGACACACAGGGGAACTAAGGCGGAAAAGGATTACACGGCGACGCCGGGGATGCGGAGGAGGGTCCGGGCCCCCCGCTCCGGGCAGCCCAGTCTGGGCCCGCGAACCCGCGACCTGGGCCGAGCCTTCCTCCCGCCGCCCCACACCCGGATGGCGGTGCCCCCCGCCCGACTCCCTTACCTTCCTAGAGGCCCGCGCTCTCCGCTCGTCGGGCGGCCGCAGCCCTGAGCATGTCCGGGGCGGATCGCGGGGCCGTGCCGGAGACAGGGAGCCAGGCGCTTCAGCAGGCGGCACCACCCAACCCGGGCTCAGCCCCTCTCTGTGGCCGCTGCCATCTTGCCCTGGCGGCAGAGAGGAAACAGCGAAACACCCTCCCCCGACTGCTGCTGCTGCTGCTGCTGCTGCTGCTCTGGCTGCCGGGCGCCGGGCCTGTCTGCCTCATCTTCCTTCCCGAGGCTCTGGGGTGGGGACCGCTTGACTCCGGGGGCCGGGAATGGGGGCGGGAGTGCCAGGCCGCCCGGCCGGCCTCCGCACTGGGGCCTACGGGCG